ACTAGGGTGTGGGTACCTAGCTGGACAGGTAGATCGCGGTGATGAAGCTTACGTCCTTCGTGACGATGATCTATTAAAGCTAGAGAAACTTGCTGAGTGCAAAATCTCTTGTTTGTTTGCTTCTTCTTTGAATGAAAATTCTGTTTTCCTACCTCGATTGCACCCACTTACACAACTATCTATCAAAACACTCAGAGATAAGTTCTCTGTCATTTGCTGCAACGTAGATGCATTGCCCTCCATAATGGAACTGGTGGGTCGTTGCACCCAGGAGCACCCATTGACTTCGGTCAGTCTGGTGACTCGAACCATCAAAGGCAAACACTTCCCATGCTTAAGGGATGGTTGGTACTTGCCGCGTGGGACAAGGGATATTACATGTGGTGGCCTGGCAGTCGATCCTATGGTCGAGCAAAGCACAATGTCAAGGCTTACTATCTCCCACCAACTCGCATCGTTGCATGCCCCATTTGACCAAAACATCAACAAAACCTATTGCTGGTGGGTCGAATAGACGGGGATGAAGCAAAGATTCTTGTTGATACGGGCGCGACTATTTCTCTTTTCGATGAAAACAGAGCCACAAGTCGTGGGGTCCTCGTTGAAGGGCCGTCTTGCCCCATTCGTCTTGGTGACGATCGAGTCATCCCAAGCAAAGGGCAGACACGTATCAATATGGAAATTCAAGGCTATAACGAGACCATTAATGTTTACGTCCTTCCATTACTGGCAGGCGTAGACCTTGTTCTCGGAATGGACTGGCTTCGAGCCAATGAGGTCATACTTGAATTTCAACACAACACAGTAACTTTCACTAAGAATGGTGTTGTGGTTCGGTGGCATGTTTCAGGGGATGTAAACACTGTTGATGCCCCACGTTCTGATCGCCCCGACGTTCAATTCGCCCTTGTGAATCAATTTGGGCAAGATGCAAAATCAGCTGATACACTCTTTGTTGTACAGCTAGAGGAAACCACACAATCTTCTCCTGAGATCGAGGATTTTCCTCCTCAGATAAAGGCTCTGGCGGAGGAATTCAAGAAGGTTTTCGAACCAATTCCTGATGGACTTCCCCCAAACCGCGCTGTGGGTCATACCATTCCAGTGGAGCCTGGAAAGGCACCACCGTTTAGACCGCTGTATCGCCTCAGTCCAGCTGAGTACGAAGAGGCTAAGCAACAAATTGAGGATTATCTCAAAAAGGGATGGATTGAACCAAGCGCGTCACCATACGGAGCACCAATCTTGTTTGTTAACAAAAAGGGCGGAGGCCTACGCATGCGCATCGACTATCGCGCCTTAAACAAGATCACAATTAAGAATAGATATCCGCTGCCTCGCATTGAGGATCTGTTTGATCGCCTCCAGGGTGCCCAATGGTTTAGCGCATTGGACCTCGCACAGGGGTACCATCAGTTGCGCATCACCAACGACGATGTACCCAAAACAGCGTTTCGCACGCCGTTTGGGCATTTTCAATGGCGTGTGCTGAGTTTCGGTCTGACTAACGCACTGGCCTCTTTTCAGAGGGTGATGAATGATGTTTTTCGTGAGGCAATCGGCCAGTTTTTCTTGGTTTACCTTGACAATATACTGGTCTATTCCAAGACCGAACAAGAGCACATAGAACACCTAAAATGGGTGTTAAACAAACTACGAGAGCACAAATTCTATGCTCGCTTATTGAAGTGTCACTTCTATAAGCGCGAACTAGAATATCTGGGACATCTCGTGGGGAACAGTGGGTTGAAAGTCGATCCCAAGAAAGTGGCGGCTGTTGAGAACTGGCCCGTTCCACAGGACGTGGGTCAAGTCAGGTCCTTTTTTGGCTTAGCCAACTATTTTCGCCGCTTCTTGGAGAATTATTCAACCATCGTTGCCCCATTGACCGCACTTACTCGAAAGGGTACGGCGTGTGAGTGGACCAGACAATGCCAAGAGGCATTTGAAGCGGTCAAACAAAAGTTGACCAATGCTCCCGTTCTGGTATTACCAGATCCAACAAAACCCTACGAGGTAGTCACAGACGCCTCAACAGTAGGGATTGGCGCAGTCCTCCTACAAGAAGGACGCCCTGTGGCATACGAGAGTAGAAAGCTCTCCCCGGCAGAGCAGCGCTATACGACTTCCGAACAAGAACTCTTGGCAGTCGTCCACGCGTTACAAACATGGCGATGTTATTTGGAAGGTGTGGACTTTGTTGTCACAACTGACCATTGTCCAAACACCTACTTTTCCAACCAAGCCACCCTTACTCGTCGTCAAGCCCGATGGGCTTAACTCCTTAGCGGATTCACCTATGATATTCGATATCGGGCAGGTTCGACGAACATGGCTAATCCCCTCATCAGAGAGCCGATAGGGGAAGCAAACGGGCTTGAGGACACCGAACATGCTGCCGTCTTTGCAGCTTACTTTGGTATCCTCGCAGTCGCCCGAGTGAGTGAGATTACCTTCAGTGGTTTTCTGAAACGAATCCGCACAGGCTATCAGATTGATTCCTGGTTTCAGAACCCACAGAATACGAAGGATCTCTCGTGGGAGCATGAGCTCTGGTGGCATGGTAAAGAAATTGTTGTACCAAACATGGGGAACCTGCGGAATGACATCTTACAAGAAGTGCATGCCAGTAAATACAGTGGACACCTCGGAGTTAAGAAAACCCGATGGGCATTGTCTAACGTATACTGGTGGCCAGGGTTGGGCAATGAAGTCCAGCAGTTTGTTACACGCTGCGACACGTGTGCACGTAATAAACCGAGCACACAAAAACCCGGTGGTTTGCTTCAACCACTTGCTCTCTGATGAACCTTGGGAGAGTGTATCAATGGATTTCATCACTGATCGTTTGACCAAGATGGTGCACTTCGTGCCTACAACCACTGACGTATCAGCGGAAGATACGGCTAAGTTGTTTGTGGCACATGTTTTCCGTTTACATGGTTTACCTCGTGTGCTAGTGTCTGACCGAGACCCTCGTTTCACAAGCCGTTTCTGGCAGGAGGTCATTCGGACACTGGGGACGAAGCTGAAAATGTCGTCTGCATTCCATCCTCAAACGGATGGGCAGACCGAGCGCACAAATCGCACTCTTGAACAAATGCTTCGTTCGTTTATTGGCCCAACACAAGATGATTGGGATGAGCTGTTGCCAGTAGTGGAATTTGCTGTCAACAACTCGGTGCATGAGAGCACCCACGAAAAACCTTTCATCTTAAATTGTGGTCGGCACCCCACAACACCTGCTACGCATGGGGTCAGTGGCTTGAAAATTCCAGCCGCTAAGGACTTTATTGGCAAGCAGCAAGAAGCGCTTAAGTCTGCTCGTCGTTGGTTGCAACTTGCCCAACAACGCCAAAAGTCTTATGCTGACATGAAACGCCGGGACATCTCTTTTCAAGAGGGAGACGGAGAATTATTGAGTACGAAAAACATTCGACTCAAACTACATGGGGCACGAAAGCTGTTTCCTCGTTGGATTGGGCCATTCGAGGTTATCAGCCGGGTTGGGGCGGTGGCTTATAAGCTTAAGCTACCAGACACCTTGCAGATTCACAACGTCTTCCACGTGTCTCTGTTAAACAAGTATGTTGCCGAAGGCACGTACCAACCACCGCCAACCATCGTCCTGGGTGAGGAACTATATTATGAAGTCGAGCGTGTGCTCATGCACCGTGATCGACAACGCGGCCGTAAAACAAAACGTGAGTTCCTCATAAGTGGAAGGGCTATGGACCTGAATACAATTCTTGGGAGCCAGAGGAACAGTTGACTGAAACAGCAGTTCAAGCTTACATGGAAGACTTGGCTCTCCGAGCAACCCCACAGCCAGTGGATGGTGTTGACCCTGGTCGTAATGTGGTTCGTCGTGCTCGTAGCACTCGCCCCAAGAAGCACTCCAAGGCAACGGGGACGTTGCCAACTGGAGGGGGAGGAGTGTAACGCATCGCCCTCCTACCCTACGAGCATTTCCTAGCTAAAGCAATACCTAAGCAAGGTATCGACTTACGGGAAGAAGAGGTTGGAGGAGATGAGTGGTGATTGGTCCACAATTGTGGACCACCACCACTAAAAGACAAGCATGGTTGGGAATCAACCCAACCTCCACATTGGATGTAATTCCAACCAATAGCACTTGAGCATTGCTGTTACAAATTTCAATATGTAACAAAACCAACCTTATCACAAAACTATCTCTCTCATTGGTTGCTAATCCAACCATTGTGCCACCTAAGCAAGCTTACCCCAAGGAGCTCCTTGCCCTTGTTGCCATGGAGGAAGTGGAGCTCCCCAAGGAGGTCTAGGAGGGGTTTGAGCTAACCAAGCTCATTCTCAACTCCCAACTTCCAATTAACCAAAATGGAAATGGGATTTTCTCTCTAAGTCCATGACTTTTCCCTCACAAGTGCTCCAAGCATCAACCACCTTCTTGGTGAAGCTATATTCTCACTTCCAAGGCTTCACCTACCAAGCTTTCAAGACTTGAAGCTACTATTAGGACTAGTCCCTATTGTGTGTGTGTGTTCTTGACGTTTTATAAGCCTACTATTGACCCTTTTGTGGGCATTCATTTATAAGCCCGGGTCTTTGTTGTGAGTTTAAGGGCGTTTTCATATAAGCCCGTGTTACACCTCCTTTAGGACGTGTCTCACTTCAGCTGGTACGCGGGTCCGTCCCTTCCTGGTCCGACGTTGAAATTCGTCACCCTGAAATGCCCCGGACTGGTCCGCTGGACCAGTGTGGACAAGCCTAGCGAACCAGCTTCGGACTCATTGTTGTTGGGTCCGCAGATCCAATCAACAGTAGCGTGTAGGCGAGCGTAACTGTACCTTTCTTTAGAAACTGGGTTACCATCACGCAGAACTGTACAGAACACTTGCTTAAGTGTACCGTGGGCTTGTCATCACCTCTCACACCAGTCATTGGCACTGCCGAGCTTTGCAACACTCGCGAGGCAGGCTCGCAAGTGTTCGCAAAGAACATCACTATTCAGGGGTCCGATGTGGACTGGTTCGCCGAGCCAGACAAGTCTCCCCGGTATGGTCACATTCGCCCATTAAAACGGGGGTGCTTCCTTCGAACACCTCTGGTCTGCTGCAGCGCACCATGTGGGTCCACCCTGGTTTGGTGGACTGGCCCACATCGACCGCAGAGAACCAGGGTGGACCGAGGGTTTTGAGACACCCTCTTAGTCACCTAATTTCCCTCTCGTCGCTCGCGCTTCCCCTCATCACCCTTGCCGATCCTCGCCGCCCTCGCCTCCCCTCGTCGCCCGCGTGCCCCGTCGTCGCCCTTGCCTCCCAGTCACTCGCGATTCCCCTCGTCATCCGCGTTTCCATAAGTTGATAGGTGGCTCACAGCTGCTGCTGATAATTTCTTTCGTTTCTACTTTTTGTGTGCTGTTTTCCCCGTTTGTCATTGTCTGCCAGGTGAATCAGAGTTTGTCGTCTCCCGCCCGACCCATCAAGTACCCCGAGGAGAATGAGGTGCGTTGGTTGGTTGGTCTTCATGCGTACAGCACATGGGTTCATGCGATGGTTCCGTTGGGACGACGTGGGATCTCAACAGACGGGAGGGAGGAGCTTGACTGGAGTTCCATCTCTCGCCCCATCAATCAAATACCCCGAGGAGAATGAGGTGGGTTTTGAGTCGACTCGAAAGTCACCGAGGAGAATTAGGTGGGTTGCCCCCATCCCCATCTCCCCATCTCACCATCACAAGACCGTCCTTCCTCCTTCCGAAGGGGTGGGACAGAGGGGAAGGAACAGATGGGGAGGAACAGAGGTGGTCGCCTCTGCCACCCACCCCGATCGAACAGCGTTTTGAACCCCTCTCTGCTCCCCACCATCCTTCCTACCCCCAGCTCTCTCCCCGGCATCTACCCCCGTTCTCCCCATTCCCGTCCCTGTTTCCCCTTCCCTGCAGTGCTTCCCTCCATCCTATCCCCCGTATCCCCTGCCCTGCTTCCCCCCATCCCCTGCCCTGCTTTCCCCCGTCCCCTTCCCTGCTTCCCCCCATCCCCTCCTCTGCTTCCCCCCGTCCCTTCACTGCTTCCCCCCATCCCCTTCCCTGCTTCCCCCCATCCCCTTCCCTGCTTCCCCCCATCCCCTTCCCTGCTTCCCCCCATCCCCTTCCCTGCTTCCCCCCATCCCCTTCCCTGCTTCCCCCCATCCCCTTCCCTGCTTCCCCCCATCCCCTTCCCTGCTTCCCCCCATCCCCTTCCCTGCTTCCCCCCATCCCCTTCCCTGCTTCCCCCCATCCCCTTCCCTGCTTCCCCCCATCCCCTTCCCTGCTTCCCCCCATCCCCTTCCCTGCTTCCCCATGTCCCCTTCCCTTCTTCCCCCCATCCCCTTCTCTGCTTCCCCCCATCCCCTGCCCTGCTTCCCCCCCCTTCCCCCTTCCCTGCTTCTCCCCATCCCCTTCCCTGCTTCCCCCCATCCCCTTCCCTGCTTCCCCCCATCCCCTTCCCTGCTTCCCCCCATCCCCTTCCCTGCTTCCCCCCATCCCCTTCCCTGCTTCCCCCCATCCCCTTCCCTGCTTCCCCCCATCCCCTTCCCTGCTTCCCCCCATCCCCTTCCCTGCTTCCCCCCATCCCCTTCCCTGCTTCCCCCCATCCCCTTCCCTGCTTCCCCCCATCCCCTTCCCTGCTTCCCCCCCTGCTTCCACTCATTTTCCCCCTGCTTCCACTCATTCTCCCCTTGCTTCCACTCATTTCCCCCCTGCTTCCCCCCATTTCCCCCTTTGATTCCCCTCATTTCCGCCTCCGCTTCCTCTCATTACCCCCTTTGTTTCCCCTCATTCCCCCCTTTGCTTCCTCTTATTTTCCTCCGTTGCTTCCCCTTATTTCCCTCCCTCCTTCTCCTCATTTTTCCTCCTTCCTCCCCTCAGTTCCCTCCCTGCTTCTCCTTTTTTCCCTGTCTGCTTCCCCTCATTTCCCTCCCTGCTTCACATCTTTTCCCTCCCTGCTTTCCCTGTTTGTACCTGCTTCCCCTCATTTCCCCCCTGCTTCCCCTCATTTCCCCCCTGCTTCCCCTCATTTCCCCCCTGCTTCCCCTCATTTCCCCCCTGCTTCCACGCATCTTCTTCCCTGCTTTCCCCCATCCCCTTCCCTGCTTCCCCCCATCCCCTTCCCTGCTTCCCCCCGTCCCCCCACCCGCAGTCACCTGACTGACGCTGCTATGAGTCGTTGCCTTGTGCTCGTGTTACCTCATATGACCTGCACAGTTCCTATCGCCCTCTCATGCTCCGTCCCTCCATTCATCCATGGCATGTCATCCCTGTGAGCCCTCAACTGCTGCCCTTATGTGCTGCATGTGGTACAACTACCTTGTGCTTGTGTTTGCATCCAACCCATGCACATGCAGTGTCGCTCTCGCTCGCAAGCACTCTGGTACCCACACACTGGGCATGTGATGGGATAGATGTGATGGGGTTGAATGGAGTGTGCATGGCCTCTCTTTCCGCCTCCACTTTCCCACGCCCCTTTCAACCCCCCTCTCCCTCTCCCCAAGTGTATCCGCGTGCGAGCGAAAAACTCCTGCTGCTGGCAGCGCTGCTCAAGCAGCTCACTGGGAGGCGGCGGATGGGAAGAGAGATGCTGCTGCTGCTGCTGCCACTGCTGTGCGTCCCCGGCAGCTGACGCTGGTGTTTGCGTCGTCGATGCAGGCAGCGCACTACCTCTTCCTTCTGCTCTCTGCTTTCCCCCTCGCCTTGCTGCCCTTCACCTCTTCTGAGTTCCCCTCCCGCCAGTTGCAGCGCCAGCGCATGTGAGGAGGACTGGCATGCCATGCAATGCTATGCTGCGCCATCCATCCATCCCCACCCAACCCCCTCAAGCCATTGCACACGATAAGTAGTGAGAGCCACCTTGGCACCCTGCTTCCCCTCCTCCCTGTTCTCAGTGCCCTTAACCATCTTCTCATCTTTCCCCCACCCCACTCCCCCCCCGACCCCCCCATCACACCCCCCAATCAGCCATTACACAAGATCTGCAGTGTGTGGGCCCTTCCAATTTCCTCCTACCATTCCTCTCAGATGTCAAACGCCGCCACTCCCCGCCACTCCTCTCAGCTGTCCAACCTGGATGTATTCAACTCGACCGCCTTCAGATACAGTATGTGTCGCATGAAGTTTACAATGTAGCTTAGAGAAAGTGCTACCAATTATTTGCAACTACTCCATTGAACTTCAAGAGTGTAAGAAAACTTGCAGTACCTCGAAATTGCTACCCATAAGACTGCCAATTGCATAATTTGAAGCGCTCGCAGCTACCCTAGGTGGGGCTGAATTCACATGTTGCATCACATAGAACAGCTCGAGTCAACACTGAGTTCTGGGCATACAGAATACACCCCCAAGCCCACTAATATCACAGGCTAATCCACATTTCTAAAAAACCTCCAGCGCACAGCAGCCAGTTAGCCCCGAATCTTCTACAGGTACCTAGGGAAACATCTCTCACAGCCGCCAGAGTGCTGTCTGAGAGCCTCTGGCGTGCTGGCAGGCGACAGACTGCATGTGGGTCTCGCCCCGCGGCTCAGCGACATGCCTTGCCTTTCCCTGCACCACTCTGCACTCCCCAGGCCCACCGCAGCGCAGACCAGCCATGCCCCACCTCGCGTGACTTGACGTGCGCTGCCGCAAGGTGGGTGGGGGAGGGAGGGGAGGGGGGAATGAGTGGTGGAAGTTCACAAGCATGCATCAATGGGTAGTGCCATACAAAATGAAACAAAAAGAACAACCCTAAACACTCATGCAATGTGTCCCAACGTCGCAAGACTAGATGGCAGGATGGATGGAAGGAGTGGTGGAGGCTGGTGGTATGTGGGGTGGGGTGCATAGTGGGTGCAAGTGTCGGTGGGAGCATGGCAGTGGATGAGGGGATGTGGGGCAGGGGATAAGGGGAAGCAGGGTCGAGGGTGGACGGAAGCAAGACAGAAGTTGAGAGGGGAAGAGAGGGACAGGGATAAGGGGGACAGGGATAAGGGGGACAGGGATAAGGGAGACAGGGATAAGGGGGACAGCGATAAGGGAGACAGGGATAAGGGGGACAGCGATAAGGGGGACAGGGATAAGGGAGACAGGGATAAGGGGGACAGCGATAAGGGGGACAGGGATAAGGGGGACAGGGATAAGGGGGACAGGGATAAGGGAGACAGGGATAAGGGAGACAGGGATAAGGGGGACAGGGATAAGGGAGACAGGGGGGACAGGGATAAGGGAGACAGGGATAAGGGGGACAGGGATAAGGGGGACAGGGATAAGGGGGACAGGGATAAGGGAGACAGGGATAAGGGAGACAGGGATAAGGGGGACAGGGATAAGGGAGACAGGGATAAGGGGGACAGGGATAAGGGGGACAGGGATAAGGGAGACAGGGATAAGGGGGACAGGGATAAGGGAGACAGGGATAAGGGGGACAGGGATAAGGGAGACAGGGATAAGGGGGACAGGGATAAGGGAGACAGGGATAAGGGGGACAGGGGAAGCAGGGAAGGGGATGGGGGGAAGCAGGGAAGGGGATGGGGGGAAGCAGGGAAGGGGATGGGGGGAAGCAGGGAAGGGGACATGGGGAAGCAGGGAAGGGGATGGGGGGAAGCAGGGAAGGGGATGGGGGGAAGCAGGGAAGGGGATGGGGGGAAGCAGGGAAGGGGATGGGGGGAAGCAGGGAAGGGGATGGGGGGAAGCAGGGAAGGGGATGGGGGGAAGCAGGGAAGGGGATGGGGGGAAGCAGGGAAGGGGATGGGGGGAAGCAGGGAAGGGGATGGGGGGAAGCAGGGAAGGGGATGGGGGGAAGCAGGGAAGGGGATGGGGGGAAGAAGGACGGGGATGGGGGGAAGCAGGGAAGTGGATGGGGGGAAGCAGGGCAGGGGATGGGGGGAAGCAGGGCAGGGGATGGGGGGAAGCAGAGAAGGGGATGGGGGGAAGAAGGGACGGGGATGGGGGGAAGCAGGGAAGGGGATGGGGGGAAGCAGGGAAGGGGATGGGGGGAAGCAGGGAAGGGGATGGGGGGAAGCAGGGAAGGGGATGGGGGGAAGCAGGGGGGAAATGAGGGGAAGCAGGGGGGAAATGAGGGGAAGCAGGGGGGAAATGAGGGGAAGCAGGGGGGAAATGAGGGGAAGCAGGGGGGAAATGAGGGGAAGCAGGTACAAACAGGGAAAGCAGGGAGGGAAAAGATGTGAAGCAGGGAGGGAAATGAGGGGAAGCAGACAGGGAAAAAAGGAGAAGCAGGGAGGGAACTGAGGGGAGGAAGGAGGAAAAATGAGGAGAAGGAGGGAGGGAAATAAGGGGAAGCAGCGGGGGAAATTAGAGGAAGGAGGGAAAATGAGGGGAAGCGAAGGGGGGAATGAGGGGAAGCAGAGGGGGGATGAGAGGAAGCAAAGGGGGAAATGGGGGGAAGCAGGAGGTTAAAAATAGAGAAACCAGGGGGGAGGATTAGGGGAAGCAGGGGGAAAACGTGAAGAAGCAGAGGATTAAATGAGGGGAAGGAGAGGGGGAAATGAAGGGAAGAAGAGGGAAAAATATAGGGGAAGATAACAAGACGGAATGGAACGGCAAGGAAGCGAGGGCAAGGGATGGGCAAGTGGGAGAGGAGCAGCGGGAGTGGAGGAGCAGCGGGAGAGGAGCAGCGGGAGTGGAGGCGCGACGGGGGGTGGCGCGACGAAGGTTCTGGCGCGCTGATGGCAGCGGAGGCGCGGCGAGGCGAGCGGAGGCGCGGCGAGGCGAGCGGAGGCGCGACGAGGGGAAGTTCCCAGAAACGAGGGGAGGCGTGACGATGGGACAGGAGGCACGGCGAGGGGAGGCGCGACGACGGGAGGCGAGACACGAGAGGATGCGCGACGAAAGGATGGGTGGCGCGACGGGGGGTGGCGCGACGATGGGCGGGGAAACGCGACACAGGGAAGCGCGGCGAGGGAGGAGCTCGATGAGGGGAGGGGAGGCGCGAGTTCTTTGAGCCACTCATAGGTGCGTGGGCGGGCGTGGCGAGGTGGCTTCACTAGGTAGGTTGTATGTCCTTGCTAGCTGGATCAGGATTTTGTTCACGAGAATGAAGGTGTGATGGGCGAGCACAGTGTCCAGTCGCACTTCGGCACATTTTCGGAAACAGCTGTCGCAGAGTTGCATGACGAGCACCATTTTGGTCGCCCCCGAATTTCGCTTTCGCCCCGCCATGATTCTCGAAATTCTTGTTTTCAAGTTTCGCCAAGACGATTTCAACCTCACATAACTTGAAAATTTACCATGCTGACCCCGGGCTATAAGACGACGGTCTAAGGACCGATGAGCTGCAGGAGGTGCGGCTGCGGCTCGGTGCAGAGCATGCCGACGGCGATCACGAGCGGCACGAAGCCGTACTGCGCCGCGACCTTGGCCTTCCGCAGCACCCACGTCGGCCACTCCTTCACGGCCCGCGCCACGCGCTCGTAGTCCACCAATGCCATCGCGAGAAACAGAGGAAACACAACAGAGGGAACAGGAGGAATAGGAGGGAGCAGAGGGGAAGCAGATCGAGGAGGTTCGAGGGAACACAACTGGCAGAAACGGTGAGTGCGGAGGGGGATGGGCGTGGATGGAAAAAGAGAGGGGAGAGCAGCTGTCGAAAGATGTTGTTAGGGCGTGTCTTCTTTTTTATTTTTGGCAATTGCGTTCCAGACGGTTCACTTTTTTGGTACCGGACAGTTCGTATAGCGAGAACGGGACTGTCACTTTTTTCAGTGTTTTGAATTTCTCGTACTGTAGCCTCGCTAACGACGATCTTGCGTCGTTACACAAATCACGACTGCTATTCCGCAAATTTCGTGAGCAAATCTGATTTCATAATTTCAGAAAAACTCGCGGCAAATCTCTAGTTCGTACTGTTGCACCGTCCGTTTGGTTTCCGAACCGTCAAGGGTTCAGATTCTAAACCGTTGAAAGTTGTAAAAAGTGTCGCGACGGTTGGGATTGTTGGCGACATCGCATACACTTTCACGAATGAGGCAACGAAATGAAGCGACGCTGATAACCTTTTCGCAGTTCAGACCGTCCACGGTTCGAACCGTCGGGGGCAAAATGGAGACACGCCCTTACAAGACCGCCCTGTTTCTCTAAAGCAGTTCAAAAACCAAAGAAATATCAATTTTTTTAAACATATAAAACTTCTCACGGGGAATGACTGAAATATATCTGATATGCATCTAAAGAATCAATCAACAAATAAGCACTTTCAACAACTCCTCCCAAGACCACGCGCTGCCCACATCACCGCATGCGGTAGTGCTGGGTGCGCGATGCCTTACCTCTACGACCATCAAACTTGTAAGTCACAGTTATGTCTAGATCGCGAGGGTTCTTCGCATTGGGCTTCACTTGCATGGTTCCAGTTACCGCTTCCCCTTCACACATGGTTAGGGTGTCTTCCAAATATAGCACCGTTTGCTTCCAGTGTGTGCCCCGGCTCTTGGGCCCTGTGGAAACAATCAGAGCATCGGGCAAAGGTTTCATATTGACAAGAACTGTGTTTATGAATTGGAAAACATTAGCATGGAGTGAAGAAAAGTGAGGGGGGGATGAAAGCGATTGTCAATGGTGAAGGGGCTGGGGGGGGGGGAGAGGGGAGGAGGGAGGGTGAGGGGGGGGGGGGGATTGAACCAGAGAGACAATGAATAAGATACATGCCGAGTAGTCAAAGCCAATAAATACATGTAGCTCATGCATGCCCACCTGTGGAGAAGCCTATGAGCTTATGACACTTGGTGAAGCCAACGTCAAAGTAGGCCACGAGCGCATCAATGTTGTGTCCCACAAGCACACAAAGTCATTTCTCTCCAACACCCACCAACCAGCATGTGTGTGTGCCCCATCCTTATCGTTCCAAAACCACTACGGCAGTGTTCGAATGCACAGCCCATTGCCATACTGACCTGTTGAGAAGCCGATGGGCTTGTGGCACTTGGTGAAGCCAACGTCAAAGTAGGCCACGAGCGCATGCACAATGTCGTTCCTCTCCACCACTCACCAGCATGTGTGTGTGCCCCATGCTTACCACTTGGTAATAACCGTGTGCACCCCATGCTCATGCTTTACCTGTTGAGAAGCCGATGTGCTTGTGGCACTTGGTGAAGCCGACATCAAAGTAGGCCACGAGCGCATGCACAAAGTAACTCCTCTGTTCTCTGCGACCTAACAGCATGTGTGTGTGCGGCGTGCCCCACAGTATGAGAATGCGTGGTGCTAGAGCTAATGCAGGTACCTGTGGAGAAGCCAATGGGCTTGTGGCACTTGGTGAAGCCAACGTCAAAGTAGGCCACGAGCGCATGCACAAAGTCGTTCCTCTCTGCCACTCATTCCTCTCCGCCACCCACCAGCATGTGTGTGTGTGCCCCATGATTCGATAATGGTGGGTCTCACAGTTACCTGTTGAGAAGCCGATGGGCTTGTGGCATTTGGTGAAGCCAACATCAAAGTAGGCCACGCAAAGTCGTTCCTCTCTGCTACGAGCTTGAATGGCACTGAGAAGGACAGGTCGCCCCTTGTCACCTTGCTGATGTCGAGCGACTGGAATGAGCAAGAAGGGAAGAGAGCGACAGAAGAGAGAGTGAGAAAGAGGTCCGTAACAGAGCATGCACAAAGTCATTCCTCTCGCCACCAGCTTGAATGGCACTGACAAGGAGAGATCGCCCCTTATCACCTTGCTTGCTGATGTCGAGCGACTGGTTGAATGGCAAGCGGAGAGAGAAAAAAAAGGGGGGGGCGGAGGAGCAGAGGGAGGATGCGCATAAAGCCATTCCGGGGCTCAGGGTTTATAGCTTTGAAACGAGTGGTAACTGAGAAGCCGGGTCCTTACCTTGACAAGGCAAGAGTTGGCGACGATTTGTTCGGCGTCTACAGTGCCAACCAGAGGCTCCCACATGGCCTCGTCTCGAATGCGCGAGCGAGCGCGAGGGAGCGGTGCACGAAGGTCCTAAGTGGTGCGTGGTGATCTAAGTGCGCATGCGAGTCCTGCTTCTCACCTTGACAAGGCAAGCGTTGGTGACGATTTGTTCGGCATCCACGGTGTCGATCAGAGGCTTTTGAGACGTCTCAAAAGGCGTTGGTGACGATTTGTTCGGCATCCACCCACGGTGCCGATCAGAGGCTCCAACATGACCTTGTACCGAGAGTGAGAGAGAGGTTTATGAGCCCCCCTAGTCCTCACCTTGACAAGGCACGCATTGGTGACGATCTGTTCGGCATCTACGGTGTCGACCAACGGTTCCAACATGGCCTTGTCTCGAATAAGCGAGCGAGCGTGTGAGAGATATTGGTGCATGAGGGTCCAACTTCTCTCACCTTAACAAGGCAAGCGTTGGTGACGATCTGCTCGGCATCCACAGTGTCGACCAAAGGTTCCAACATGGCCTTATCTCGAATGCAGCTCATGTCAAACCCGTACACTGACTGCCAGACTGGGGGAAGAGATGCAGGGGGATGGGGAGGAAGGGGAGAGGAGAGTGGACACATGGTGAGGGGACCATACCTGGGGGACTCCAGCATGGCCTTGTCTCGAATGCAGCTCATGTCAAACCCGTACACTGACTGCCAGACTGCAGCGCAAAGGGGAGGGGGGGGGGATCATACACACACATGGTGGGGGAGGGAAGAGATTGCCTCAAATGCAGTTCACTTCAAACCCGTACGTGGACTTTTGAGTCGACTCAAAAGTCACACAACTGGTAGGAGACGGAAGAGATTGCCACGAATGCAATTCACTTCAAACCCGTACGTGGACTGCCAGAAGGGAGGACGGACACATAGACGGGGTCCGTACGATTATAAACAGGGGTGCGAAAGGGGTTTCCTGAAAGACTGGACAGGCAGAACAAAAAGGGATGCGAAACACATCGCCTGGAAAACAATCCCCCCCTTTATGTGGAAATTAGATCAGAAAGGGTGGAAAAACCACATTTGATTTCCTCGTGCTCTCACAGTGAATCTTCTCCTGCTTGTACTCTGCATCCTCTATAGCCACCAGGTAGGGTACGAGTTGGAGCAGGCAACACACGGGCAGATGTTCTCTACCCTTCCTCTCCCCCTGCTGCACTCACAGTGGATCTTCTCCTGCTTGTACTCTGCATCCTCTATCGCCACCAGGTAAAGCATAGTGGGGAGCAGGCAGCACACGCCAGAAAATCCTTTCCCCCCCTCCCCCTCCCCTGTCCTCCCTTTGGTGCACTCACAGTGGATCTTCTCCAGCTTGTACTCTGCATCCTCTATCGCCACCAGGTAAAGCATAGTGGGGAGCGGGCAGCACACCCACACGCCCAATGGTGCGCCTTCCCTACCCCCCCCTACCCACCCTCTTCCCTCTCGTGCACTCACAGTGAATCTTCTCCTGCTTGTACTCTGCGTCTTCTATTGCCATTGCCACCAGGTACAGCGAGCAGCAACACACGGCCAAAGAATCCCCTCATCTCCTTCAAACCTCGGCCTTTTCCTTGTTCTCTCACAATGACAATGACCCCCCTCTCCCCCTCGTGCACTCACAGTGAATCTTCTCCTGCTTGTACTCCGCGTCTTCTATTGCCACCAGGTTCAACAAAAGGGGGAGCACTCACTCACACAGGAGTCCCCCCACCTTCTCCCTCTCGTGCACTCACAGTGAATCTTCTCCTGCTTGTACTCCGCGTCTTCTATCGCCACCACGTACAGCATCACGGGGGAGCAGAACAGATAACCAAATACGGTGCATCTTCCTTACCCTTTTTTCAACCTCCTGCACTCACAGTAAATCTTCTCCTGCTTGTACTCTGCGTCTTCTATTGCCACCAGGTACAGCGCGCAGTGGTCCGGCAACACTATGCCTCCATTTGACTGCACACACATGCACGCACGCACGGTAGAAACCACGGGCGCACGCGATGGGATGTAAGGGGAAGAGAAGAATGAGAGAACACATTCCATGCTTTCCCTGCTTGTACTCTGCATCTTCTATCGCCACCAGGTACAGCACGCCAAGGTTCAAAATTACGGTTTTCGTAAAATACGGTCCGTTTTTTACGGTCGTTTTTTACGGTGATTTTTTAAAAAAACGGCCGTTTTTTTGTTAGAGAACTCTGTTCACCAAGAAAAAAAAGAGGAAAACAAGGGCAAAAACATTTTCAATCATGCAAACAAGCGCATACATGCAAGAAGGGTTCCATCCCCTTCATGCTGCTGCATTACGGGTTCAATTTGGTCCCACTAAGTGGCCGTTTTGTTAGTTATAGAGGAAACACCTCCTGGAACCGTTTTAAACCGTTTTTTACGACCGTTTTTTACGGTACCGTTTTTTACGGTAAAATTTCAATAAAACGGTCGTTTTTTTTAACCCTGCAGCACGCAGCGGTCTGGCATCACTATGCCTCCCGTTGCCTGCACTCACATAAAAGCACACATGAATGCACGAGAGGGAGATGGGGTGAGAGAAGTATGGGGAGCACTTTATAAAGAATGGACTCGCAGAGGAGGAAGTAGCCGCCCATCCACTCCCGTGTGGTAACCTGGTTACCCCCTCCATTACATTGACGCCCATCCACTCACCAGCCACTTTTCCCTCGCAAAGAGCACCTTTCAAGGATGGACTCGCAGAGGAGGACGTAGCCCATCCACTCACATGTGGTAACCCGGTTACCATAACACACGGCTCCCTTCCACTCACCAGCCACTTGTCTCTGGCGAAGACCACTGTATCGAGCATGGACTCGTAGAGGAGAAAATAGCCCATCCTCCTCCCTGACACAACTGAAAAGCGCCAACACTGAGAATTGATCCCTAGACCATCTGCATAATAACGCACCAGCCACTTGTCTCTGGCGGAGAGCACTGTATCGAGCATGGACTCGTAGAGCAGGAAGTAGCCCATCCACTCCCATATAGCTGAAAATTGCCAGCTCTGAGAATCGAACCCTAAACCACTTGTATAATAACGCACCAGCCACTTGTCCCTTGCAAAGAGCACTGTATCGAGCATGGACTCGTAGAGCAGGAAGTAGCCCATCCACTCTGATATGGTAACTTGGTTACCCCATTACATTCACGCCCATCCACGTACCAGCCACTTGTCCCTGGCGAACAGCACTGTATCGAGCATGGACTCGTACAGCTGGAAGTAGCCCATCCACTCCGATATAATCACATCCACCTTCTCCCCCTCTGGCAGCTCCACGTCCTCCACCTTCCCTTTAATCACCGTGATTACTGCGAACGGAGAGACGGGGTGGGGGCAGATGGGGAGAGGGAGAGAGCGGTGTGGAGGGGTGTGAAAGGGTATCGATTCCACCTTCTCCCCCTCTGGCAACTCCACATCCTCCACCTTCCCTCTTATCACCGTATTCACTGTGGGGGGGGGTGATGAGAGGGAGAAAGAACGGGTAGGGGGAGAGAGAGGTGGCAGGGGGGACAAGAGTTGGGGGAGTGTGGAAGGGACAAAGTGATGACTCCGCCTTATCCACCGTGCCTTTTTATCACTTTAATAACAACAGCACTAAACCCGAAACCCTGAACCTCAAAACTCGTAAAACGGGCCTGGCGGAATGGAAGAAAATGTACCGTATTAGGATAAACTCACCCACGGAAATCGCGTTGGGTGGTCAACTCACTGTGGTTCATGTGATGTGACTGCGGCGGACCAAAACCCAAATCCCTCAACCTGGAACCCTGTGAAACCGAGCTGTTGGCGGAACGGATACCACTGTACTGTACCATACCATCTCGCGTTGCGGTGGAACTCACTGTGGTCCATGTGATTGGCTGCAATGATCTCGCGCGCACACTCCGCAATCTCAGAGCATTCCATCTGTATGGCATGGCACGGGATCAGCATGAGATCGGCACGGGATCGGCACGGGATCGGGTGAACGAAAATTATGCTGCAAGCGCACGAACAGGCAACACTAGGAGAGAACCATGGGGGGGTTCGAAAAGACAGGACGAGAGTTTGATAAAAGCGGGGAAGTACCGAAGTGGGCGTACGAGTCGAAGTAATAATCGGCGCTCGTTAATTCCATATCCCCTGCGCCTCCTGAGCTACCCTCCGCCGCTTGCGCCCCTGCTTGCGCTTCCTGCGCCGCCCCGCTAGTCTCCATCGGCTCCGCCGCGAGCTCCTGCTCCTCTCCCCCCGTCAATTGCGCCGCTTCTGCAACCTCGGATTGACCCGGCTGTTTTTGCTGCTGCTGCCGCTTCTTACGCCTTTGCTGATTACCTGACGTCATGGCTACGACGTTATTGGCAGCTCCAGAGGATGAATGATTACGCAAGGAGGACGTGCGGCACGAATGCTTCAGTGCTATAAGTGGCGGGTTTATGAAGGAGCTAGGTCTTATGAGATGATTCATGGTTTAGCAGACTCGCGATAAAAATAGGAGTGAGGAGGGTTTTGAAGGTTTGGTTTGGTTTGCGCGCGCTTGGGTTTCGGAATCGCGTTTGCAGCGTTATTGCGTTCTCTGATACTTGGACAAGAGAGCGAGGGAACGTCTCTGTTACCTAAATCAGCACTCACTTACGCAGCTACTCAAATTGACCCACTTCAAACGAATATGTCGAAAGTTTCTTTTGATTCAAATTCGGATGGGAAATTTGCTTCTCCTTCCAGACATCCTTGATTCAGGTGATGGATAAATTTTCATTGGTTTGAGAACCATGATTAACCTTTGTTACGTTTTGAGTTAAGCACGGTACTTACTACCCTTTCAAGAGTGCATCAATAACGAACCATGACAGGAGAAGCAAAATGTCAGCCGCGATGCTACTGCCTGTCAGAACGGTTGGTTGTGAATTCGAGTCGCACTAAGTATGATCTCCGTCATTCACGCAAAAGGTACAAATTCCTAGAGCGAGAAGTACGCGTCCGTCTTCTGTCGTCTTTTCGCGGCCTAACAATCACCGCAAGCTCTGATTGGAGCTAACTTACCTTCTGAGTCTAGTATTCTTCATGTTACTAGTAGTTCTTACTGTAGCTCGTCAATTCACACGTGATCCCGTGTGCAATAATTAAGCTGTAAGAGGCCTGTATTCTTCGCGAGCATGGCCAGTACTGTGGCCGTCAATACCGATGCCAACCCGTCGTTACACCATGACGTCACGCCTGCTCGCGAGCCCGAATCCGCGTCTGACATCCGTCGCTTGCCCTTCGAGGTACGGCATTCCGCGCGCTCCAGAAGCTGGTTACCACTCGAGTTAATATGTTGATCACCTTTTATTTCTCCAGAGGGATATTGCAAAGCGAATTGCGCTTCTTGGACCCAGGCTGGATATTATGAAGCTAAAGGCGTCGTTACAGCACTTTTCTTGCCTTACAAAATTGTAGCGTTTTGTAAATAATCATTTATTAGGCGCCTTAAGTATGATACCACGCTTTCATGCTGTTCTTTCCATCCAATGGCCCCCCTCTCTGCAGTTGCTGGCTCGGGTCTTAGACAGTCTGTCATTGGTTGACAGGGCGCATGCCGCCATGTCATGCTCCCTCATGCGCCACGCTGTCAACGGGTGAGAAAAAATGCCACGCTGGCAACAGGATGGTGCTTGCCATGTCAACATTCAAAGTGGGGGAGGAAGCGTAAGCAGAGTGGCAAGCATGCTGGGGGCAAGGTCACCGATGGTGAATGTGAGAAGCCTGGTAGTGAGGACACGCAGATCTTCGAGAACGACTCAACTGATAGCAAGAAGGCCAAGAAATCAATGGTGCAGCAGCAACATCCCCCCAGGACAAGGCTGAGGACAGTGGGAGTGGGAAGCAGCAGGAAGGTGCTTGGGATATTAGAGGGGAATGAAGTGGTGTAGGAGCTGGTTTAGTTCTTGAGCCTTGTGTGACGACTGTTTTCTGTGTCGAAGATTGTGAACATGTTGATGTGTAAACATTGTAGAGATTTACAGTATGCGGTGTTCATACAATATAGTTTGCATGCAGTCCATCAGTGTGCTTAGTTGCAAACCAATCGCCGGAAGTGTTTTTGAAGGATGGATGCATGCACGCAAAGTGACGGGGATGGACGAAGTGATTTGATTCGCAAATACATATTCTCACCATTGAGGTGGACGGTTTGCAGTGGTTGTACGAGATTGCGCTTATCAAGACGAGGGCGTCAAAATGCTGTCACTCAGGGGGTGGTTTCTGGCATCTGGGGTGGTTTCCGGAACTTCATCTTGCTGAAAGTGGGTACATAGTGTTAGACTTTCTGCATTCCACTCCCAGGAGACTCTGACAATGGAGACATCTATTGCATCCGAGGATACTGGGAACGCGGTTCGCGCACGCCGGGTGTCCCAGCCGCCGCGTATCTGCGAGCAACGTACCAGCTGACAACTCCAAGAAGCCGCATGACCAGGGGAACACGCAGAACAGCTTTGCCAAAGCGTTTAGCCTTTCCAAGGGCGGGAGCTGGAGGGAAGTCAGTACGTGACGGTAAGTACGGAGTCGGAGTCCGTTTATGTTTGATTGGGTGCGGTTTTTTTATATTACTTGGGGATTGATCCGCAGAGGGTCAGAGAAGTGCTTGCTTTCATAAGGCCTAACCTGCTCTTCTACCCCATTGCCACGTCCTTAGATTATTCAGGAGGCGAGACATCGGAAGCGTCCCCGGGCAGGGCACTCTCCCAAGGTCAACAGACAGACTCTCAGGATAATCGTTCGAAGAACGACGATGCTGAACGTAACTCGAGGTGGATGCGAGTTGACGTCGTGGTTGGCGTGGCAGAACACACAACCGGAGTACAGGACGCTACCAAAGAGGAGGATGATGAGGACGTGGGGCCAGCAATGCGCAACATGTTCGCAACAACCTGAATTGCGATGACGAACTGTTGCACGCGAATGGCGAGGAGGTACGCGCGTCCGCCAGCGTCTTTCGGAGCCTCATAAAATCGCAATATGAGAGTGCGCAGAAGGTGGCGCGCTTGGAAACTTTCCTCCTCAATGCACTGGCAAAAGCCGACGGCGGCTCCCGACGTCGCAAAGCGGAAAAGCAGAGGGATCCGGGACAGGGATGCATGAACCCGAAGCGACAGCGTCGCGTGGAGGCCGTGGCCGACGGAGACGAGGACGACGATGAGGACGATGGTGACGACTACGAGGACGTCACAAACATTCGCACGTGTCGCAGGCACTTGCGGTCCGCGAAGTCGCCTGTCTTGCAGCGTGCCCTGGACGTGCTGCCCGCATACAAGGCTTGGAAGGTATGTCGTGGTCGGGACGAGGAGGTTGTGACTATCGGTTGTTTTTGCGTGCAGTAGTGGGTATTCGGGGCACTATATGGTGCAATGTACCCCCCCCCCCCCCCCCCCCCCCCCGCGCCTCTCCTCCCACCCTCCCATCCCGCGTTTTTTCCACGGTGTACATGAAACGTGTGCAGCGCCTATGCGAACATGTTCGAGTTCATCTGTTTATGAAAAGCCGAATGCCACCATGACTTTCTACCCAAGCTCCGATGACAAGACGTACGGCGTGTGCGCAGTGATTGACCGCCTGTTGCACAGCTTTGCCGCTCTGGCTGCAGACAAGACACGTCGCGCGGACCTGAACAAGACGTTGAGCGAGTGGAAGACACGGGCTGCCACGCGGGTTCGGGACATTGCGCTACCCAAGCTTGGATTCTTTCGCGACGAGCGTGACGAGCTTAGTCTGTGGGCGCGGGAGATGGCGCGCTCACTAGAGCAGATTCGTCAGCGCATTGGACTCGGTGTCGATGAGACCGGTAAGGGTCGGATGTGTATGTGCTTGCCAATCCTCATTGATGGCTTCTTTGTTGGTTTAATGGCAGCGGTGAAACCGTCCGTGTGCAGAACCGCTCGTGCTGACGAACTGGTCCAACGATCGCGATGGAATGCCATTCGCATCTGGCACGTTTGCTGCTTGCGCTAAGGCAGCCTTCAATCCCAAGAAGGTTGCAATGCCACTGTCTTTGAAGGTGTACCACCTTGCATGGCTGGAGCACGTGGTGAGTTAGGGCGCTGCCCCGGGGGTTTGATGTTTGTTGAAGAGCGGTATTTGAGCGTTGGTTTACCATGTCTTGCTGCAGGTGACCGACAGCATCATGTTCTGGGAGCGCCGGATGGGGCGCCTCTCCAATTCGACGGGTGGCAACGGCCACGTGGTGAATGGTATGAAGGTATTGGTGAAGGCGTCTGTTTCGTCCGCGATCTGTCACTACAACCCAGAGTACGACGCCGAGAAGGAGGAGTGGATATGGGGGCGCCATGGCCTCCGCATTTCGGCCTGTGGCCTCGGGAACTTGAAGCCAAACGCTGGCGCCAACGCGGAGGAGGGCGCAGGGGATGATGCGCAGTCCGTGTCTGTCGATGCCGAGTCAAGAAGAGTTTCAGACTGGAGTGGGATGGGGTGGGGTTTCTGGATAGCTTGTTTGGTGGTTTGTATGTTTATCATGAAATGTGGATGCTCGGTGTGCGGCCAGGTGGGTTTGTGGCCGGTTTGTAGTGTGGTCTAGGTGTTAGTGGGAAACACCCTGGCTAGGCACTTTGATATATGTGTGTTAAAGTCGGAGCAATGCAATGCTGAAATTCAACACCAGATGGACCTCGCGTTCCTAGAATCCACAGACGCCCACAACCACAATGGCTCGTGTAAATCGCGGCGCCAAATGCGGCGGTATTGACGGCGTGTAGCAGTATTCTACGATTAGATTGATCTTGACCGTTGCGCGAGGCATGTATTGGATGGATGCTATTGCAGAGGACGGTGAGTCGATGTGATATGTGGTATACGAAGGACCATGTGTCAAGTGGAGTTTT